CTGAGATGCTTATAAACCTCAACTAGGTCCCCCCTTGCCCGTCTGTAGTATAAGCTAGGCAAGTTCAGGCGCTCCAATCTCTCAGGGTAGCTGAGATGCCGAAGTGCAGGCACCAGTTTGGTGGCCCTCCTTTGAACATTTTCAACCAACTGACAGTCCCTAGCATATCTCGGGGACCAGATGGGGTGACAGTACTCCAGATGGGGAAGCACTTCACTCCTGAAGATCGTCACGAGGGACGGACCGTCTAGATATCTGAACGACCTTCTTATAAGACCCAATAATTTATTTGCCTGATTTACCTTCTTCTCACAATGGCCCGAGAACTTCAGCTCATTGTCAACATACACACCTAGGTCCTTCTCACACACAGTCTCAACTAGTACATTTTCTTCATCCCGTTGGGACATATGGTACGCCTCCTTACCGTTGGTACGCCCCAGGTGCATCCTCTTACACTTCGTGACATTGAATCTCAGCAGCCATTCCTTCGACCATTCCTGGAGCCCACAGAGGTCCTTCTGCAGCTCTTCACAGTCCGCTTGGTTCTTAATTTCCCGAAATAACTTGCCATCATCGGCAAACATTTGTATGGAGGAGTGTACAACGTCAGGCATATCATTTATGAAACAAACAAACAACAGCGGGCCCAATACACTACCCTGCGGTACCCCACTTGTTATAGGTACAGATGACGATTTCGTGCCATTAATCACCACACATTGCTTGCGGTCATGTATAAAGTCTTCTATCCACGCTAGGACATTTCCCCGAATTCCGTACCCTTCCAGTTTGATTTTCAGCCTTTCGTGGGGTACACTGTCGAAAGCCTTGGCAAAATCTAGGTAAATATTGTCGATATTACCACCCCGTTCTAGAATATGGGTCCAAATATCCAATACCTTGAGCAATTGTGTCAAGCAAGAGCGCCCCGGCATAAAACCGTGTTGGCAATCTTTTACAAGGTTGTTTCGTAGTAGATGTTCCATCGCTGCATCTCTGATAATACTCTCAAGTACTTTACATATTATGCTGGTCAGGCTCACCGGTCTATAGTTGTTCGTGGAGTGACTATCGCCCTTCTTGAAGATAGGACTCACATAAGCCACTTTCCATTCACTGGGGACCATTTGTTCATCCAGGCATTTACAAAACAGAATCTTCAGGGGCTCTGCAAGCTCGTTGCACAGCTCCCTTAGCACTCTAGGATGCACCATGTCAGGTCCAGGACTCTTATGGACCTTTAGCCTGGACAGTTTATTTCTAATACCCTCTTCTGTGAACACAATGTGGGTCAGTGCTGTGTCGAACCGTCTGTCCTCAAACGCAGGAAGGTTAGTTGCATCCTCTCTTGTGAACACTGAGGAAAAGAAGCTGTTCAATGCCTCAGCTTTATCCTGGTCAGAATCTGCGTAACTACCATCTTCAAGCCTCAGGTCTGATACTCCTACTCGCGTTTTCAATTTCGACTTTGCATAGCGGTAAAACGCCTTTGGGTTTGACTTGACCTCGCGTGCAACCAGCCTCTGGAACTCCTTTTCAGCCCTCCTACACTCTATCTTTGCTTGGTTTCTGGCTCTTGCATACATCCTCCTGTCTTGCTCATCGTTTGACCCAACCCACGTCTTGAATTTCTGGGTTTTCTTCTTAATTTTGTCGACTGCCGCATGGTTCATGTGTAGGGATCCCCTCGTATTCCTAGAAGCACTGGGTTTGGTCTTGGGTATATATTTATCGATCAAATGGGTCATTTTACTAGTTATGATATTCAGCGTAGTGTCTGCGTTCTTGTACCTTAATAAGTCAGGCCAGTTGATACCCCTCATCTCTTCCCTCATCCCATTGTAATTTCCCTTGTAATATTTGCACCTTGGCCTGGCCTTATCTTGAACTAGGTAACAGTTAAATCTGAATGACAACACTGTATGGTGACTGGTGCCAACTGGGGCAAGGTGTTCCAGTTTGGCCACCATACCCTCCTCGTTTGTTATGATGAGGTCAAGTGGCTTGGGTGTTTGCTCCCCTCTGTAATGTGTCGGGTCTCTCACATGCTGGAACAGAAAATTATCTCTCAGAGTTTCTACAAAAAGAGTAGCAGGATTATTCAAGTCATTCGGGGTGGACTCGTTTCTCCAGTCGATGTCGCCATAGTTAAAGTCCCCCATGATAAGGAGGTGGCTGGGGTTGAGCATCGCCGCATTGTTTATGCTAACACAATTGCTCAAGGTATTGGATATTTGGACCCATATTCTGGAATGGGGTGGTAATATCGACAATATTTACCTAGATTTTGCCAAGGCTTTCGACAGTGTACCCCACGAAAGGCTGAAAATCAAACTGGAAGGGTACGGAATTCGGGGAAATGTCCTAGCGTGGATAGAAGACTTTCTACATGACCGCAAGCAGTGTGTGGTGATTAATGGCACGAAATCGTCATCTGTACCTGTAACAAGTGGGGTACCGCAGGGTAGTGTATTGGGCCCGCTGTTGTTTGTTTGTTTCATAAATGACATGCCTGACGTTGTACACTCCTCCATACAAATGTTTGCCGATGATGGCAAGTTATTTCGGGAAATTAAGAACCAAGCGGACTGTGAAGAGCTGCAGAAGGACCTCTGTGGGCTCCAGGAATGGTCGAAGAAATGGCTGCTGAGATTCAATGTCACGAAGTGTAAGAGGATGCACCTGGGGCGTACCAACGGTAAGGAGGCGTATCATATGTCCCAACGGGATGAAGAAAATGCACTAGTTGAGACTGTGTGTGAGAAGGACCTAGGTGTGTATGTTGACAATGAGCTGAAGTTCTCGGGCCATTGTGAGAAGAAGGTAAATCAGGCAAATAAATTATTGGGTCTTATAAGAAGGTCGTTCAGATATCTAGACGGTCCGTCCCTCGTGACGATCTTCAGGAGTGAAGTGCTTCCCCATCTGGAGTACTGTCACCCCATCTGGTCCCCGAGATATGCTAGGGACTGTCAGTTGGTTGAAAATGTTCAAAGGAGGGCCACCAAACTGGTGCCTGCACTTCGGCACCTCAGCTACCCTGAGAGATTGGAGCGCCTGAACTTGCCTAGCTTATACTACAGACGGGCAAGGGGGGACCTAGTTGAGGTGTATAAGCATCTCAGGGGGCACTACTCAGTTGAGTGTCCTTACTTGGAGCTGGCGGACGCTCGCCCCACAAGGGGTCACAGCTCAAGATTGAAGAAGCCGCAAGTCCAGAAAACCGTGAGGGCAAACTTTTTCGGAGTGAGGGTTGTAAACTCTTGGAACAATCTACCAGAGAGTGTTGTGACGGCACCGAGTGTGAGCTCTTTCAAGAGAAGACTTGACCAACACTGGAGCGGGTTCAGGTACATTCAGGAGCCGGTGCATGCCCAGTATTTGCCAACAGTGCGTGACAGAGACGTGACCGATCGCCCGGGCGGCTAGCGAGCCGATCTTTTGGTGAAGAATATAAATGAAAAGAGACGTGACCGATCGCCCAAGCGGCTAACAAGCCGATCAGTGGCGAAGAGGATAGAAGTAAAAAGTAACACATTCTCGTAGATTGTTCCAAGAGTTCACAACTCTCTCTCCGAAAAAGTTTAACCTCACAGTTTTCTGGACTTGCAGCTTCTTCAATCTTTAACTGTTACCTCTTGTGGGGCGAGCGTCCGCCAGCTCCAAGTAAGGACACTCGATTGAGTAGTGCCCCTTGAGATGCTAATACACCTCAATTAGGTCACCCCTTGCCCGTCAGTGGTATAAGATAGGCAAGTTCAGGCGCTCCAATCTCTCAGGGTAGCTGGGGTGCCAAAATGCAGGCACCAGTCTGGTGGCCCTCCTTTGAACATTTTCAATCAACTGACAGTCCCTAGCATATCTCGGGGACCAGACGGGGTGACAGTACTCTAGATGGGGAAGCACTTCACTTTTGAAGATCGTTACGAGGGACGGACCGTCAAGATATCTGAACGACCTTCTTATAAGACCCAATAATTTATTTGTCTGATTTACCTTCTTCTCGCAATGGCCCGAGAACTTCAGCTCATTGTCAACATACACACCCAGGCAAAGTACTTGAGAGTATTATCAGAGATGCCTCGATGGAACATCTACTACGAAACAACCTTGTAAAGGATTGCCAACATGGTTTTATGCCGGGGTGCTCCTGCTTAACACAATTGCTCAAGGTATTGAATATTTGGACTTATATTCTGAAATGGGGTGGTAATATCGACAATATTTACCTAGATTTTGCCAAGGCTTTCAACAGTGTACCCCGCGAAAGGCTGAAAATCAAACTGGAAGGGTACGGAATTCGGGAAAATGTCCTAGTGTGGATAGAAGACTTTTTACATGACCGCAAGGGGTCACAGCTCAAGATTGAAGAAGCCGCAAGTCCAGAAAACCGTGAGGGAAAACTTTTTCGGAGTGAGGGTTGTAAACTCTTGGAACAATCTACCAGAGAGTGTTGTGACGGCACCGAGTGTGAGCTCTTTCAAGACAAGACTTGACCAACACTGGAGCGGGTTCAGGTACATTCAGGAGCCGGTGCATGCCCAGTACTTGCCAACAGTGCGTGACAGAGACGTGACCGATCGCCCAAGCGGCTATAAGCCGATCAGTGGCGAAGAGGATAAAAGTAATAGCACGAAATCATCATCAGTACCTGTCACAGGCGGGTTTCTTATGCAACAGTTCTACACCACTGTATCGGGTTGATGTACCATCAGTAGTGTTTGAAACTCCGCTGTCTTGTCAAGGAACGTGTCATTAATAGTATTCATGACTTTCAAGCAGAAAATTTTCCTCGTAAACGTGTAAAAAACGAGTCATTTGTGATGGAAATGAAGGTCAAAACATAAAAGACCATCGGAAAAACGTAAGTCATGTCCAACACCCTTATGGGCAACTTCTAAAAATTTACCGATGTAAGTTTGGTCATGTACAGTAAATAAGTGATAAAAAATAACTGATGGCACTGTAGTTATATTTTATTCGTTAGCATGGTAGGTGGCCTGGTCGCTGGTACCTGATGTTGCAGGAGGCAGAGCGGCAGGAGCTGGTCGCTGACACTGTCTGGAGGGAGTCAAATAAACATCGTTTTGCAGCATGAGGATAACACTAACATTATTTCGTAGAAAAATGCCCCCTGGTAATATTTATGGCGGGTAAGTGGAATGTTTAATAATTATGAAGCTATTGCATCTTTAAATTTTATATATATTTTTTTTTTATAACGTTATGGCACTAGTTAGGATAATGACCAGGATGTATACACCACTTCCCATTTCGTCTATCATATGGTGCTCCCATTATGTTTACGCCGTGGATATTTTGCCGTGACCTAATTTCCTGCTAACGCTATTTTACCGTGAGTGCGCTTTGATTGGCTAAGTACTTTCTGTATAATATGACGGGGGTGCCGCCTCCCGGCTGGTAAGGTAGGTTTCTTTGGTTGGTTTCCTCAGGTTGTACTAGGTTCTGCTAAATGACGCCTCGTTTAGGTAAATTTTTATTTTCGGACATGAATCCCTAGGGGTTGACCAATATGTTTTTCCACTGTATTTTTGTGCGTTGTAAACGAATATGACCTTCATTTTTGGCCGAAATTGATACCCCCTCACCCTCCAACAATAATGGGGGAAAACCTGGGAAATTGGGGTTTTGGGTTGGGGAGAACACTAAAACGAGTCAGCTAACCTAACCTTTGGGCCGCACCATGTCCGAAAGTACAATACCTTAGGAGACCAAGATTATGTATTTACAAATTTTCGTTTTTATCTTCTCTACAACCCTTCTTGGCCAATTACAAAACAACTGATGCTTGTCCTTTCTAAATTTACAGGGTAATTTACAGTGTGAGCACTCGTCAGACTTAGGGAGAACACGGTAAATTTGCATTAGTGCACACAACCCTGTTAGAAAGTCAAAACTATGTTTTTCTTGTGTATTTTTGTGTTTTGATTGGTTATGACCTTTATTTCCGTCGGAAATTGCCCGTTTTTTAGTTATCTGGAGTGTTTGGTGGGTCATTTTCCGACAAAAAATATATTTTTTTTTTACGGGAATTAGCCCACCCGGGCACAGGTCAAACGACCCACACCGGAGCCTGGGGGGCGAAAGAAAAAGAACGGAAAGAAATTGTAAATATAGACGAAAAGGTTATACTGTATTAATCTACACCACGAAGATGCTGGAAAACCAGCTTTTTAAAGTGAGACAGATTGTAAGAGCATGGAAACACAGAAGAAGGCAGAGCATTCCACAGTTTGGCTGTGTGAAGAAGGAAGGAGGTACTATAACGGGTTATTCTCGTGTGACCGACATCCACAGAGAAACGGTGGGCACCGCGGGCAAGACGTGTGTTACGGACCCACGGCCTTGCTGGCAGTACACAGGATGCCAAATCCACCGAACACTGCCCATTAAAGTACCTGTAAAAGAGAGAGAGTGAAGCAACATTGCGGCGAAGAGAAAGGGTAAAAAGATTGTCGACTAAAGGAGGAGAGTTAATAAGACGAAATGCCTTTGATTCCACCCTATCTAATAGTTGGACAGAAGAAGAGCCACCCTAGATATGAGAGCAGTACTCCAAGTTAGGACGAATGAATCCCTTATATACTTGGAGCAACTGCTCAGGAGTGGAGTAGCTGCGGCATCTGTACAGCATTCCCAACTTTCGGGAGGCAGCTTTAGTTATACTAAGGATGTGTGATTTCCAGGATATTGGAGGAAATGGTGAGGCCTAACATATTTATTTCAGAATTTGGGAGGATGATAGCGTCCTGAAATGTAATTGGTGGGAGATCGTCTAATTTACAAAGTGTAATTGATAAATATTGAGTTTTATTACTATTGAACTCAACCAAGTTTGTACCTCCCCATTCAGAGATGCTGCACAGATCCGCGTTGATAGACGTAATGATATCACTTTTAGAAACAAATCTAGTTTTAGAGTTAGAAGGAAGGGGAAAATGTGAGGAAGAGTGAAGAGTAGAATCATCAGCGTATGAATGGATAGAATTAGTTGTAGTGTGAAGTAAATCATTGATAAAAAGAAGGAAGAGAGTTGGTGAAAGAACAGAACCCTGTGGGACGCCACTACTGGTAGAGAAAGAGCGAGAAATCGATCCCTCGACAACAACTGCCATGGATCGGTTCTTAAGGAAGCTAGAGAGAAAACAAAGTGGGGAGAGAAACCAAAAGAGGGAAGTTTAGATAGCAAAGACTTGTGGCTAAACGAATACAAAATACACTAGAAAAACATAAACCTGACCTAACGTAACCTAACTTAACTCTCACCATATGATGGAATCACTTATTTCTTACCTTATTGACCTAGTTCTGGTTTGTCGTTGGATTCTAAGAGTAGTACAGGTTGCTAACGCTGATTCTCGCTTAATGGGGGGTATAAGCAGGCAACTTGCACTTAAGACACTTTACTGAGGTCGGGAGAACACCATGAGAACTAAAAAATGCTATAGCTTGTTGGTTTTTTCCCCCAAAACGCACAATCACCGCCAAAATATCCACTGCTTTATTTTTACTCATAATGGCTATTACACTACAGTAATTATGCCTACCCTTTGTTGCGTTATGATTCGGTAGAGTTCATGGTTAATATTCGGGGTAATAGTGTAAGAGATGGTTACTACTAGAAGGACTTTATGGAATTGTACCAAAAATTTTGTATTATTTCATGTGTTGCCACTAAGCGAATCTGAATTATTTCAGTTGTTGCCACTAAACGAATCTCTGGAATTTTATTGTTAGAATCAGGGTTAATATTTAGTTAGATGTTGCCAACTCCAGTAAAATTTCATTTCAGTCATGTAGTGAATTTAAGGATTTTAAGTTTTGGAATCGGTACTTTAGACAATTCTAAGGAACTTTATATCTATAACATTTCCGTTAGAAATTTATATTTTTTGAGTACTGTACTGTAATCGATAAAATTACCAACAATATTACAACCCCCTGTACTTGTTTAAAGTGGGCAAGGCTTTGAAGTAGAGGGAAACTGTTAAGTAAAATAGTAATAAAACACTGAACAAACTTTTGAAAACCTGACCTAACATTTCATAACCTTTAAAAACCCTAAAACCCTAAAAAGTTTACCTTATTCATGTTTTTGGTGTTTCGTAGGTGATGGTGTTGATTTCGGTTTTTAGTATGTGTTGGTGTTGTTTTTGGTGTTCAGATGAGGAGGGATCCATAAACTCAAAAGTGATTCTTAAAATTTTTAGAAGTTAGGAAGCATTAGGTAAGGTTTTCAAAGGTTTGTTTGGGGTTATTTTTTAGTATTTTACCCCGCATTTTCCTATATGTCACGGCCACTACTGAATAACCTTCTTCTTTCAGCTGTGCTCCAACTCCTAGGCCCATTAAACAGACTCACGTTCTGAAATAACGGCTTTGGTTAATAGACCAGGATCATGAAAACACTCCTTGCTACTTCTGGCTGACAGTTGAAGATGATATTTAATAATTAAGAGGAGAACCAGGGAAAACACATACATCTTGACAAGTTGGGTTTCTTTAGTTACTAACGTTTTGGAAGATCATTTTCCATCAGAGCCTAGAAAACAGGCAAAAAGTTTTTTTTAAAGTTACAGGTAATATCAATAAAAGCGGAACTTTATTCTAAAATTTACCTTCCGCAAATTTTTTTAAAAGAGCATTATAATTTTAAACCAATACAAAATGATGGGAGACCCATGTACAAAACTAAAATCAGAAAAATAAAAAAAAAACATACAGGGGGTATTATGAGGACACATTTTTAATTTTCAGATCACGTCCCATGTTTCTAAATTATCTAAATTCGAAACTTGGTAACATCAAATTTACTTGTGAATTAGAAAAGAACAATATTCTACCATTCCTTGATGTTAATATCCATCGTCTTCATAATAGTTTTGAGACAGTCTTATACAGAAAACCAACATTCACTGGTTTGAGTACAAAATTTCATCATTCATTCCTCTTAATTACAAACGAAATCTAGTGCGTACTCTTACCAACAGACCCTTTAATATATGTTCAAGCTACAGTATTTCCACCTGGACATTGAACTGAAATACATAAAGGAACTACAGTCAGTTCTGCTATAATGCGATAGTTGTGTTCTTGTAAAACATCGTGTTATAGAAATTCGCTTAATAGAAATAACAGGGCTTATGGACAAAATAGGGTTAGGTGCAGATTACTACTCAAAATCGAAAAAATTTAGTAGTTAGCCTAACACAAAGGTTGCACAGTCTAAATAAATGTTACATTCATATCTAATAATGAAATCATACAGTAAATGTAACACTTTACCTTGAAAAAATATGAATATAACTTGATGGGGGAGAAGGGTGATTTTGAGGTAGATAACATCGAGCTACTCTTCAAGGGTTATAGCCTTTCTTTTACGATCATCACTGGAAGTGCGATCACCAGAACGCTTCTTGGAGATATTCTTCTTTACCATATTCACAGTTAATACCACTAAATTGGAGAAATAGTAAGCAAAAATTGCGTTGCAGCAAACAAGCGTTCGCGTTATACAAATATCGTTCCTCTATTCATAAATCACGTTGGAGCCAATTCGCGTTGTCAAAACACGCATTATAGCAGAACTCACTGTACTCTTTAACAATGGTTTCCCTAAGAGATTTACAGATATTTATATAGGCAAAACCCTTAATAGGATTTTTGGTCCCACACAGCTTCAAATCCACACTGTTCCTAAATATTCTATCTATTTCACCATCCCATATACTGGCCCACTCATTTTCTCCCTTAGAAACAAGCTGAAGAAGCTTCTCAATAAATTCTATCCACAAATTTCTCTTAGATGGTCTTCAAAGCCCAGAATTCAAATAAAAAATTCTTTAAAACTAAAGACACCATACCCACACACTTGCTATCCTCAGTTGTATATCAATTTACGTGTGCTAGCTGTAGGGCAGCATATATAGGTAAAACAAAAAGACACTTGATAATTCACATCCATGAGCACTTGGGGCCACATTCAGCTCTATGTAACCATGCCCACCAACATGACCACCTGTTTTTGCAATCTGATTTCTCAGTTCTTGGCAGGAGCAACTGAGACAGCCCTCCTCATTATGGAAGCCTTATATCAATATAAAGTAAAGCCATCCATTTGTGATATGGCTTC